GCGGCTGCGTGCGAGCCAGCGCAAGTGTTTTAGCGCCGCTGGCCCGTGGCGCCCGGCCGTCTCGAGGCTGAGCGGCAGCGCGCGCCAGGGGGCCCGGCCGGCGGGGTAGCGACGTCTCTTGTCGCGCTCCCCCTCCCGCGCCACGGCGCCGTCCGTGCCCGCCGCCGCGGCCAGGGCGTCGGCTTCGCCTGGCACGCTGTAGCGGACTGTGGCATCCGCTAGCAGCCGCGGGCAGCCCGCCCGTTGCGCCTCCAGGTCGAGCAGCGCCTCCTCGCGGCGCGCCTGCAGTGCGGCCCCGCAGGCCTGGCAGGGCCCTGCTGGCGGGGCGTCGGCGTGGCCGCGCGCCGCGCAGCCGGGCGCCGCGCACGTCCAGATCCAGCGATCCCAGGCTGGGAGTTGAACCTGGCGCGCTGTCTGGAAGCCGCACTCTGCGTGAATGCGCCCCCAGACATCCTCGACGGTCCGGCTGCGCGCTTTCGTGCCTCCTCCGCAGGCGCAGCGGAAGGCGCGGTGCGACTTGCTGCAGAGGGGCTGGCCGCAGGGCTGCCCAGCGCGCGCGCCCGTGCGCAGCCGGTTCTGGCAGCGGCTGTTCAGTGGGGCGAGGCCTTGGCCCAGCAGTGCCCGAGCTGTGTCCAAGTAGTCGTCGCCCCCCAAGCGCTGCCCGGGCCCGCCGTTCGCCAGCTGCCAGCCGGCCGCGCGGGCGCCGCCGCAGGAGCGGAGTCGTGCCCGGTCCTCGGTTGCTCAGCAAGGCGTTGTAGTTCTTTTTGTCGAGCCTACGCGTGAGCATGTTTTGGGCTTTTTTTTCCCGAGGCGCCTGGGCAAGCCCCCGCCAGGGCGGCAGCGGCGCTGCGTCCTCGCCCTCTTCGTCAGTGGGGTCTGGTCCTGGCAGCGCGGCGCCTCTCGGCAGGCCGCGGCCAGCGGCAGGCCAGAGGTGTCCAGGTCCGCCAAGTCGGGCAGGCCGCTCCTCTCCAGCGTGCCCGCCAGGCTCTGCGCCCAGGAGCCCGCCCACGCCGCGGGGGCCAGCTCCTCCTGGCTCCGGAAGCCGCGCCCGCCAAGGCGCAGCGGCAGCCGGCAGTGGGCGCTCTGGCCCCCCGTCAAGGGGTCCAAGTGCGTCAGTTCCTCGTAGGCCCCCAGGGTGGCCGCGTCGTAAGCAGTAGCAGCGGCTCGCGCGGTCGCGGGCGGGTTAGTGCGCAGCAGGTGCATCAGTTTCCCCGTGCCGCAGTGCCGCAGGAGGAGCCCGGCGGCCTGCGCCGCGGGCAGGTGCGGTGAGGCCTGCCCCGGCAGCTCCGCAAGCCTTCCCAGCAGCGTGGCGGCGCGCGCCGCCGCCTCGGCGCAGCGCTCGGCGGCGTAGGCCGGCGTCCCCAGGTCCAGGCGGCGGCCGTCGGTCGCGTCCGGCAGGTTTCCCGGCGGCAGCGGCTCCCCCAGCGGAACACCCACCAGCGTGAGGCCGCGTGGGCGCCACTGTTCCTCGAGCCCGGCTGGGCACGGCGAGCGCGGGGACCAGGCCTGCGTCTTGCGCGGCTGGAGCTCAAGGCCGAAGGCGCCGAGGGCCTCCTGCGCCGCCGGGGTGACGGCGGCAGCCAGCTCGGGCGGCGTGAGGACGATCACGTCGTCCAGGTAAGCCAGAGTCCGGATGTCGTCGGGCCGCAGCCCCAGGGCAGTCGCCTCCGCGCGCAGCGCCTCCTCCAGCGCCTGCAGGCGCGGGCGCAAGCCGCAGGCGAAAAGCAGCGGCGCCAAGGGGCCCCCCTGGTCCACCCCGTCTGCCGAGCGGAGCCTGTGGCAAGTCCCGCTGCTGTCCCAGAAGTAGTACTGGGAGCGCCGCTGGCTGAAGAGCTTCGCTAGGGGGAGCAGCTCCGGCGCCGCGTCCTCCAGCTCTGCCAAGCAGCGGGCCCTGTTCGCAGTGCAGTAGGCGTTCTTCGCGTCCAGTGCCGCCACCACCAGGTCGGGGTTGCTCTCGGAGAGTGCCCGGGCAGTGTGGGCAAGCAGCTCGGTCCCTTCCTTCGTCCCAATCGCGAACTGCCGCCTGCCCAGAGCAGTCGCGAGATCCCTCTTCAGCGGAGTCACCAGAACCCGGCCGACCAGCCGACGGAGGATGCTTGGGGCAGCAATGGGGCGCACCCCGTTGCCTGGCTTGCGGAGGGGCGTCAGTCTCGAGAGGGCCAAAGCTTCGGCAGCGCTCTCTGGCAGGTTCGCAGTGGCGACGCGGTCGCAAACCTCGCAAAGCGCCTCGAGCGCGGTGGGCTCGGCAAGCACCACTCGCCAGTGCTCAAAACGGCCGCCGCCGACCGCGGCGCCGCTCCCCTTGGGGCTCCGCCGGAGGGCCCGTTTGAGCTCCGTGCGCGAGAGGGGCGAAGCCGCCGCCGCCGGCCCTGGGCGAGGGTCGCGGGCCAGTGCCTGTGCGCCGCGGGGAGCAAACAGCTCCTGTAGTTTCGTCGCTGTCTCCTCTGTTGGCGGCGCCAGACCTGGGCTCGCCAGGAGCGCCGCTGCCCGCGAGTACTCTTCAGCGAGAGCCTGGCGCACCACCTGGTCGGCAAGGTGGCCTTTGTCGTTGGCGCCGTCTCCTCCTGCTTCCCGCCGGGCCCGGGCCAGGCCCCGAGCGGCCCTCCGCGCTTCTTCGAGGAGCTCCTGCCAGGAGCCGCGCAGGAGCAGGGAGCACCGCTGTCTGACCAGGCGCGCCCTCTCCGGGGGTTCGCTGTCTGGCTGGCGCCGCCGGCCTGTGTTGCGGCGGATCGGCGCGGAGAAAAGCAGCCGCTCCCTGAGCACGAGGAGTTTCCAAGCCCGGGTCTTTGCCAACGTGCCAGGCGCAGAGCGCAGCACCGCCCGGCAGACCGCCTCCGTGGCCTGTGCGGCGGCCGCCCGGGCCCCTCCGGGGACGAACCGGAGCGTGGGGCAGTCTTGCGCGAGCTCGTCCAAGAGGTCGATGGCGTCCAGGGCCGCCCAGCAATCCGCCTCCATGTCTCGGAACGGCTGGGGCGGCGGCACGGCCGCAGCGGGGGCGGGACCCAGCGCGGCCACGCCTCCAGGCAGGGGCGGCGCGGGCGGACCAGGGGCGAGAGCCGCCGCTGCCGCGACCGCCCGCCCTGCCACTTCAGCCGCCGGCGCCGCCGCCGCGGCCGCCGCGGCATCGGAGGCCGGCGCGGTCGCCGGAGCGGCCGCCGCGAGCGCCTGTGTGCCGTCGGCTCCGGCGGCGGACCCCAGCCCCACGCTGGCGGCTGCGGGAGCGGCAGCATCCACCGCGCAGTCCCGGCACACGGCGGCCCCACACGGCTCGCACCTGTACAGCCACCCTCCCCGTCCAGGTCCACCATGGACGGCGCAAGTCTCGGCCGTGCTGTCAGGCCGCGCCGCACGCAGCAGGCCATGGCAGTTCGGACAGGCGAGCTGCGATCCAGCGCCGGGAGGTCCTGGGTGTTTCACCTCTCCCACGCGGATGCCGGCCCATCCGCACTGCCAGGTGACGGGGCGACCTGGCGGGGCGCGCCCTGTGCCCAATCCGCGCCTCCCAGCGCTGCCGGCGCGAGGATCTTGCGGCGGGTGGCCCGAGATGGGAATCCTTATCCCCCAGCGCTCTCGGCACCGCTTCGGGGCCAGCCTCGGAGCCGGCATCGGCGCCAGCGTCGGAGCGGAGCTTGCAGATGGCCTCAGGCGCCTCCGCCGCCGGCGATCCGCGCCTCCCAGCCCTTCCACTCGTGGCAATCTGCGCCTCCCAGCGCCGCCGGCGCTGGGATCCCGAGGCAGGGAATAATGAGTCTTTACTTCCGCCGGCCTCCTTTGTCCTTGTGGACCCCCCCCAGGACGCCGAGCCGCCAGGAGCGCTGCAGGCGCCTGGCCACGGCGAGGGCCTTGGCGTCGTCCTCGGCCCCGTCCAGCTTCTCCATGAGCTCCTCCTCGCTCATCTCCTCGTCGTCGTCCTCCTCCCCGGCGCCGCCGGCGCCACGCTGCCGCAAGTCGGAGTCGTCGCTGAACCTCTCGTCGCCGTCCTCCTCCTGCTCCTCCGCCTCTGGCTGCTTCCGGGCGCGCGACTCCTCGATCGCCTCGTCGAGCCTGGCGGCGCGGACCCTGTACTCCACGTCCCCGAGGGCAGCGTGGAGGGCGGCCACGGGGGCCGCGATGCTCTCGGGGGGCAGGCCCGAGACAGGGCACACAAGCTGCGAGGTGTTGAGTGCCTGCAGCAGCGCCCGTGCCGGGTGTGCCCACCCCGCAGCTGCTGGAGACGACGCCGGCGCATCGTCCATGCGCTCCGTCTGGAGCTCGGCGCGCAGCTGGGCGAGTTTGGCCTCCCCCTCTTCCAACTCCCTCTGGAGGGTTTCCTCCTGGCTGCGGGCCTCGGCCAGTGAGACCTCCGCGGCCTCGACTGCCGCTGCCGCCTTCGAGGCCCGCGTGGCCGCTCGCTTCACGAAAGCTTCCAAGAGGTCCAGGCGCCGCCCAGGGGCTGGGGCGGCCGCGCGCTTCCGCAGGTCGGCGGCCTGCCGGCGCAGCTGTGCGGCCGCAGGGCCGAGGCGGACGCTGTCGAGCTGGTCCGCCGAAGCCTCGAGGGCATCCGCCTGCGCGGCGGCTGCTGCGGCAGCGTCCTCGGGCGCCGGCGGCCGCCCACGGTGCCCCGGCGCCGGTGATGGCACGCGCTCGCGCGAGTCCTCCCTGGGGACCTGCGCCTGTGGCCGAGGCTCCGTCCCTGGGAGCAGCGGCCAGTCGGCGCGCCCAGACGCGGCGCGCTCCGCGGCGCGCTCCGCCGCGGGCGCAGGCGGAGGGCAGCGGGCAGGGGCTCCGGCCCGCGCTGCCCCACAGCGGCGGCAGCTGCCGCGCTCCTCCCAGTTGGGGGCGCCGCATGTGCAGCGCCACGCCGCGCGGTGCGGGGGATGTTTCTTGGCGTCGCCTCCACCCCCCGCGCCAGCAGCCCTTCCGCCCCCGCCGCTGAACAGGCTGCGGAGGACCTCCGCCGCGAGCTCCGCGCCGCCTGCACGCCGGGGCCCACGTCGCCGCTGCACGACTTGCCATGCCATCCCCTCCAGCGGGCCCTGCACAGCAAAAATATACGTATATAAAATGAAATGTCAGCCTTATATCCCGCTCAAGGCGGCAGCAGCAGCCGGCGCCGCCGCGAGCAGAACAGTGGCGGCCTCGGAAGCGAAGAGCAGCTATCGCGAGGCCAAGATGGTTACGAAAGAGGGGCCTACGGTCCGCCCGGCCAGCCGGCCGGCCGAGCCCTTGGTCCGAGCACCTCCTCCTCCTCCTCCTCCTCCTCCTCCTCCTCCTCCTCCTCCTCCGCCTCCGCCTCCGCCTCCGCCTCCGCCTCCGCCTCCTCCGCCTCCTCCACCTCCTCCGCCTCCTCCTCCTCCGCCTCCTCCTCCTCCTCCTCCTCCTCCTCCTCCTCCTCCTCCTCCTCCCTCCTCCTCCTCCTCCCTCCTCCTCCCTCCTCCCTCCTCCCCCTCCTCCCCCTCCCTCCCTCCCTCCTCCTCCTCCCTCCTCCCTCCTCCCTCCTCCCTCCTCCTCCTCCTCCTCCTCCTCCTCCTCCTCCTCCTCCTCCTCCTCCTCCTCCTCCTCCTCCTCCTCCTCCTCCTCCTCCGCCTCCTCCTCCTCCTCCTCCTCCTCCGCCTCCTCCTCCTCCTCCTCCTCCTCCTCCTCCTCCTCCTCCTCCTCCTCCTCCTCCTCCTCCTCCTCCTCCTCCTCCCTCCTCCTCCCTCCTGCTCCTCCTCCTCCTCTCCTCCTCCTTCCCTCCTCCCTCCTCCTCCTCCTCCTCCCTCCTCCTTCCCTCCTCCTCCTCCTCCTCCTCCCTCCTCCTCCCTCCTCCCTCCTCCCTCCTCCCTCCTCCTCTTCCCTCCTCCCTCCTCCCTCCTCCCTCCTCCTCCTCCTCCTCCTCCTCCTCCGCCTCCTCCTCCTCCTCCTCCTCCTCCTCCTCCTCCTCCTCCTCCTCCTCCTCCTCCTCCTCCTCCTCCTCCTCCTCCCTCCTCCGCCTCCTCCTCCGCTCCGCCTCCGCCTCCGCCTCCGCCTCCGCCTCCGCCTCCGCCTCCGCCTCCGCCTCCCCCGCCTCCGCCTCCGCCTCCCCCTCCGCCTCCGCCTCCGCCTCCGCCTCCGCCTCCGCCTCCGCCTCCGCCTCCGCCTCCGCTCCGCCTCCGCCTCCGCCTCCGCCTCCGCCTCCGCCTCCGCCTCGCCTCCTCCTCCTCCTCCTCCTCCTCCTCCTCCTCCTCCTCCTCCAACTCACTCCTCATCACTCCTCACTCCTCACTCCTCACTCCTCCTTCTCCTCCCTCCTCCTTCCTCCCTCTCCCTCCTCCTCCTCCTCCTCCTCCTCATCATCATCATCATCATCATCATCATTCCTCCTAGTAAGAGCCTCTGGAGACTTCAAACTTTGGGGCCGAAAGCGGTGAGATCCCAGGCGAAACGCTGGGCCCGGTTTCTCAAGACGAGTCGTTTTTTGTCGGCGGGCACGGGGCCAGGCAGGGGCTCCGGGCCGCCGAGGTCGACGACGACCTCCGCCGTGTCTTCTTCGGGACGGTCGACGTCTGGCTGCCAGTTCTCAGCCTCCAGAGGCAGCGCCCAAGGCCGCGGGGCCGCCGAGGCCTGCAAAAGAACAAGGGGCCAGCCCATTGGCAGGAGGTCCAGGCTTGGTGCCGGGGCCGCACTTCCCCGCGGAGGAGGAAATTTGAGGATCGATCGGCATCGTCGAGAGAGTTCACTTCACGGGCGCTCGGGTGCGAAGCACCACGCCCGCATGGCCAGCGGCATGTGCGCCGCCCCTGGGAGAGGGGGCGGGATGTCTTGCAGAGAAGAGGGCCCACGAAATCTGGGGAGATATCATGGCCTCCGCCATGCGATCTCCCCCCCGTCCCCTAGTTTTCTCCCCCCCAATCATCCCCCCCCCTTATCGGGGGGAACGAACGGGGGGATAGCAAAGGGTAGGGCGGAGAATCAGCTCACGTAGCTGATTTTCTCAGCGCCTCCTGGCGCCAGGAGGCGCCTGGGTATCGAGGAATGGGCCTGGCGGCGGGGCCGAAACCAGCTGCATGCAGCAGATTTCGTAACCCCCCCGTTCACTCGGAGGGCTGAAAAATAGCACCAGGACGTCGACGTCCCAACTCCTGTCAGGGCTTGAGGCGGTCCAGGTAGATCTATACATATATATATATATATACACACATACACACACAAGACTGCAGTGGCGCTTCGCGCCATGCACCTTGGTCCTTGAAGTTTGGTATGCAGGCGGAATGCCTCGGGCCACCCTGCCTCCAACCGCCGTCTCCCTGAACGACCGAATCACGATTTGGAATTCTTCGGAGGGTGTCTTCGGGCCATCTTGGGCCGCAATGGGGCTCTCTGAGGGCCATCTTGGACACGTGTTGTGCCGTTTTGGGGCTCTCTTGGATTGCCTGGAAGCCCTTTCGGATGGTTGGGGCGATTTGGGAGCCTCCCAGGCGGCTTCGGACGCCCAGAAGACCGCCGTCTTGGAGCGTCGGGAAGCCGAAACGAGGAGAACCCCAAAATTCACCAAAAACCAAAAGAAAATCCATGATTCTTGCCTCTGACGGCCTTCTTGGGAGTGCTCTTGGAGGCCTCTTTGGGGCCGTCCTGGAGGCCTCTTGGGCCATCTTGAGGTCACGTCACGTCGGTCACTCTTGGAGCGCTCTCGTGCTGTCTTGGGGGTCTCGGGGACGTCTCCGATGACCCCCCTGATCGCCCTAAGTGTGCTGGGAAGGCTTGGCAAAACGCCTTGCGAGGCCCGGTGGCCGCTTCGAGCCCCGTCCGGAGGGCCCCAAAGCCCCAGGTCCCGGGAGTCCGGTTTTTGGGGGGGGGATTGGGTTTTCCCCCCGCCCGGGCTTATCAAAATATAGGAAGAGGAATATTATCTATATATATATATAGATATATACAGATCTGGAGCGTTACTGTCTAGCACTCTCTGGCAGTTCAGGGTCATCCCCCCCCCTGGTCACCCACCCCCCTCCTGGCCGCCCCCGAGCGGCGGCCGGCGGCCGCCCGCCCCGCGCCTCCTGGGGCCCCCGCCGACGCCGCCGCCCGCGCGGCCGGCGGCCGGGGCCCCCAGGCGCTGGCACACCGCGCGCATCATCCCCGCCGGCCGCCCGCGGCTCGGCGGGCCGCCCGCGGGGGCCGAGGGCTGCGGGGGCCCGGGCCCGGGGCGCCTTGGCAGACGACGCCGCCGCCGCTGACGCCGACGCCGACGGCAACGTAGACGGCGACGACGACGACGACGACGACGACGACGACGAGAAACGACGCAAACGACGACGCCGACGCCGACGCCGACGCCGACGCAAACGCCGACTCCGACGCCAACGCCGACGCCGACGCCGCCGACGCCGACGCCGAAGACGAGAATCGAGGTTCTGGCACGTCTGCCGTCCTCTTCGGGCCTCCCAGGAAGCCCCGCCGCCGCGGCCGGGTCCGCCTCGAGGCTCTGGCTGAGCCTGAGGGCCGAGTTCTTGACCCCCGACCCCAGACCCCCTCGCCTCGTGAAGAAGTCGCACCGCAAAGCGTTGACAATGGTCGGCCTCGTGTGGGGGCCCCTACCGTGACCTTCCAGAGTGATGAAAAATAGCACTCCAGACCCATAGATCTATCTGGACTGCCTCAAACCTCGACAGGAATCAGGACGTCGACGTCCTGGTGCTATTTTTGAGCTCTCCTGGAAGGTCAGGGTACCACGCCCCAGTGCCGTCGGAAGAAGCGGAAGGGGTCGAGACCCGCGACGGTTCACGCCCCGCGAAGGAAGGTCGAGACGTGGGGAGTCCGGGCCTGCCCCTCGACCGCAACGAAGGCTGCAGGAGCGCACGAGCAAAATGAACAACCGACGAATGCTAGCTTTTCAGGGAGGCGTAAGACCCGGGTACAGGGGACTCGGAAATCCCCGACGAGGTCGTCAAAAAAATGACGAGGCCGAGCCTGCATTTTGACGAGGCCTCCCGCTGCAGACATCCCACGAAACTCCTACTCGTCAAAATCCGAGTCGCGGTCGTCAAAAAACGATGGCGAACCCGAGTCCTGGCAAACCCGGGTCTTACGCTCCCCCGAGCTTTGTCTGCACAACCGCAAAATGAACAAACTTAATAAAACAACTAAAATTGAGATTAACTGCACAAACGAAATTAACAATCTTTGAGGCAGATGTCTCCCCCCCAGAAGATTCGGCCGCCCGCGGGCCGAATCTTCTGGGGGCGAACAGGGGGGAGGAGAAGCAGGGAGAACGATCCGACGGGAGCGGGCTGCGCGGACTGCGAGCATCGCGTGCGCCGCGACCGACGCCCGGCACCCGCTCGCGCACGGGTGGCAGCTCGATGGCCCCGCTCATCGTGGACCGCTTTTGCTGGCGGCCACCGAAGTGACGGACAACGGCCAAATCGTTCGAGTCGCCAAGGAGGTCAGGGCATGTCCGAAGGCCTGAAAACCGGAGGACGCATCGGACGCCGCCGCTGCTCCAGAGCGTCCCGGGCACTCTCTGAGAGGGCCCATGGAAGTGTCACTCGCACGAGCCAAACGCCCCCCCGCAGCATGCAACCAACGCAGCACAAGGGCCCAGAGATACGGCTGCTAACAGGGGGTAGGCTCGCCCGCTATGTCACTTCATGCGTCTCATGCCCTTCCCGTCCCTCCTCTCATCATGTCCTCCCTCCTTAATCCTCCCTCGTCCTCCTGGTCATTCTCCCCCTTCGAGCTTCGAGCTTGTGCAACGTGTATGGATGCTGCCGCGTCCCCCCCCCACCAGAGGCGGTCGCCCCTGGGGGGGGGGGGTGAAACTACCGTTTTGTGCAGCGGCGCAGTGCCGCTAGGGCGCGAGGAAAGAGAGACGAAAGGAGGAAGCACCCAAACACAACGCAGAGAGAGGAGAGGCAACACGAGGTGCGCAAGCGTGGCTGGGCCACGCTCGCAAAGAGCTTGGTGGCGCAAGAGCGTTTCCCCTCACCCATAGGGGGCTCCAGCGGGACGGCCCCCCATCGCGGCCAGCGAACCCTCACCTGCTGGGGCAGGCGAAGGGTCACGACGG